TGTTACCCAATTCCAAGAAACAACAAAATCCAGCATCCACAACTTGGAAAATCAAATGAGCCAAATCTCGAATGCCGTGAGTAGGCTTGAAGCTAAGGATTCGGCAAAACTCCCATCTCAAACGGAGCCGAATCCAAGGCAACAAGCTCACGCGGTCACTTTGAGAAGTGGCAAGGAGTTGGTTATGGCTAAAGCAAAAGCAAAGAGCCATGTTGGAGAAGAAGAGGAGGATATCTTGGTGCCAAGCACAAATCCTCAAAATGAAGAAGAGAAAGAGGAGGAAATCACACCTCAAAGAAAGTTTCCACCGCTTGATTCATACGAGCCAGTGCCACCTTTCCCGGAGGCTCTCAAAGACAACCACAAATACAACAATGACAAGGATATCTATGAGACCTTCAGCAAATGTGAGGTAAATATTCCTCTTCTCAATCTAATAAAAGGTGTCCCTAGGTTTGCAAAGTTCTTAAAAGAGCTTTGCACAATAAAAAGGAAACACAAATTAAATGGCAAGCATAAAATCCAAGTAAGCGAAAGAGTGTCAGCCGTTTTTCAAAAGAAACTTCCTAAAAAGTATAGTGACCCGGGAATGTTCACTATACCATGTAAACTTGGAAATTCTAGTTTTTCTAGGGCTATGTTAGATTTGGGAGCATCAATCAATGTCATCCCATACTCTCTATATAAGTCCCTAGAACTAGGCCCTTTACATGAAACGGGGGTTGTTATCCAACTTGCCGATAGATCCAATGCTTACCCGAAAGGTGTAGTAGAGGATGTACTCGTCATGGTGGATAATTTAATCTTCCCCGCTGATTTTTACGTTCTCGAAATGGAGAATGATAAAAATGCAGTCCCGATTTTGTTAGGAAGACCCTTTTTAAAGACGGCCAAAGCAAAAATAGATGTCTTTAGTGGAATATTAACCATGGAGTTCGATGGAGAGAAAGTCGAATTTAATATCTATGACTCCATGAAATATCCCACCGATAATCACTCTCTTTTTGCAATTGACACTTGCGACACTTGGGTCCAAGATGTGTTTGAAGTTGAAGGGAAAGACGAATTTCTAAGCTCAATTGAGAACGACGTAGAGAATTTCACTATGGAATACTCTATGTCAAACAACATGAAAATGATGGTGGCGGAGTTAAATCAACTCCCACTTTTGCCACCGGGCTCTAAAGCCCTCCCACTAACCATTCCGAGCGAGAGGCCGCTACCATCTGTTTTGCAGGCACCGGAGGTGGAATTGAAACCACTCCCTGAAAATTTGAAACATGTGTTCTTGGGCGAAAATCACACTCTACCGGTGATTATCTCAAATGCCTTGGCCCAAGAACAAGAGGAGAGGTTGATTTCAGTCCTTAAGGAGTACAAATTGGCCATTGGATGGTCTATTGCCGACATTAAAGGCATTAGCCCATCCACATGCATGCACCGGATCCTACTTGAAGATGAGGCCAAGGCGGTGAGGCAACCGCAAAGAAGATTGAACCCACCCATGATGGAGGTGGTGAAAAAGGAGGTGATCAAACTACTTCAAATGGGAATCATTTTTCCCATCTCCGATAGCAAATGGGTGAGTCCAACCCAAGTGGTGCCAAAGAAGACCGGAGTGACGGTCATTGAGAACAAAGAAGGCGAAATGGTGCCCACCCGAGTGCAAAACGGGTGGCGAGTTTGCATTGACTACCGAAGGCTCAACTCGGTAACTAGAAAAGACTTCTTTCCATTACCCTTCATTGATCAAATGCTAGAGAGACTGGCGGGGCACAAGTTCTATTGTTTTCTTGATGGTTACTCCGGGTATTTCCAAATACCAATAGCCCCGGAGGACCAAGAGAAAACAACCTTCACATGTCCATTTGGCACTTTTGCCTATCGACGAATGCCCTTTGGATTATGCAACGCACCGGGTACCTTTCAAAGGTGTATGATGAGCATCTTCTCCGAATTTGTGGAGGTATTTATGGAGGTCTTTATGGATGATTTCACAATCCATGGGGACTCTTTTGACACTTGCCTCTATCATCTCACTCTTGTGCTCAAAAGTTGCATTGAATCCAACCTTGTTCTCAATTCTGAAAAATGCCACTTTATGGTGGAACAAGGGATTGTTCTTGGGCATGTGATCTCCTCAAAGGGCATTGAAGTGGACAAGGCAAAAATTGATGTCATCCAAACACTCCCGTACCCAACAAATGTACGGGACATCCGCTCCTTCCTTGGTCACGCCGGTTTTTATAGGAGATTCATCAAAGACTTCTCAAAAATTTCATCTCCTCTATGCAAACTTTTGCAAAAGGAGGTTGAATTTGATCTCAATGATGAATGCAAAGAAGCTTTTGACACTTTAAAAGCAAGATTGGTAACCGCCCCCATCATACAAGCTCCCGATTGGTCTCTTCCTTTTGAGATCATGTGTGACGCAAGTGACTATGCGGTGGGGGCTGTTTTAGGCCAAAAGAACGGGAGGGCTGCTCATGTCATCTACTATGCCTCATCAACCCTCAATGAAGCTCAAAAGAACTACTCCACCACCGAGAAGGAAATGCTAGCGGTGGTCTTTGCTTTGGAGAAGTTTCGTTCCTACCTTCTTGGAACGAAAGTCATTGTGTACACCGACCACGCCGCTCTTAGATTCCTTATGACAAAGAAGGAAGCCAAACCAAGACTCATTCGATGGGTCCTTCTATTGAGTGAGTTTGACATAGAAATCAAAGACAAGAAAGGAGCGGAGAACTTGGTGGCCGATCACTTGAGCCGCTTGGTCCCAAACAAAGAAATCGAAAGTCTCCATACCAATCTCATAAAAGGTGAATTTCCGGACGAGACTCTCTTCTCAATCAAAGTCATACAACCATGGTACGCAAACATTGTAAACTTTCTTGTTTCCGGCAAATTTCCCCCACAATTCTCAAAATCTCAAAAAGAAAAATTAAATATGGACTCAAGACTCTATGTGTGGGATGACCCATATTTGTGGAAACATTGTAAGGATCAAATAATCCGAAGATGTGTCCCTGAATATGAGATAGCTCACATTATAGAGTTTTGCCATTCTTATGCTTGTGGGGGGCATTTCGGCCCGAAACGGACTGCAATGAAGATACTTGAAAGTGGCTTTTGGTGGCCAAGTCTTTTCCGGGATGCACATGGCTTTTGTCAATCTTGTGACAATTGTCAAAGAGCGGGCAACATTTCAAGGAGAAACGAGATGCCACAAAACCCCATGCTTTTCTGTGAGATCTTCGATGCATGGGGTATTGACTTTATGGGACCTTTCCCGAACTCTCAAGGTAACATCTACATTCTCCTTGCGGTGGATTACGTCTCTAAATGGGTGGAAGCTAAAGCCACCAAAACTGATGATGCCAAGGTGGTGGCTAGCTTCCTAAAATCACACATATTTTCTAGGTTTGGGGTTCCTCGAATTTTAATAAGCGATCGAGGCACACATTTTTGTAATAAAATTGTGGGATCCCTACTAAAAAAATATGGTGTGACTCACAAAATCTCTACAGCTTACCACCCTCAAACCAATGGCCAAGCGGAGGCCTCAAATCGGGAGTTGAAATCTATACTCCAGAAAACAGTGAACCCAAACCGAAAGGACTGGAGCATACGGATTGATGATGCACTATGGGCATACCGAACTGCCTACAAAACTCCTATCGGTATGTCCCCATATAGACTGGTATTTGGCAAAGCATGTCATCTTCCCGTGGAACTAGAACACAAGTCATACTGGGCAGTAAAAGAATTCAACCTCAATCTTGACGAGGCCGGTGTACATAGGAAACTCCAATTACAAGAATTGGAAGAACTCCGTTTGGATTCTTATGACAACGCGGAGATCTACAAAAGAAAGACGAAGGCTTGGCATGATAAGATGATCATAAGGAAGGACTTTAAACTTGATGACAAAGTCCTCCTTTTTCAATCACGCCTTCGTCTATTTCCAGGAAAGCTGAGATCTCGTTGGTCGGGACCATACAAAGTGGTCAAAATATATCCACACGGGGCGGTGGAAATTGAAGACATGGAAACGGGAGAGGTACTCAAGGTGAATGGACAAAGATTAAAACCCTTCTTTGAGGGTTTTCAACCCAAAAATGTGGAAGTCATGGACCTTTCTGAACCGGTCTATGAGTGAAGAATAACGAAGATATCGTCGAGCCACGACGTTAAATAAAGCGCTTCTTGGGAGGCAACCCATGCAAGGTATGTTTTCTTTTCAATTACACTTTTTACGAATGTCAACTTTTGGGAGAATGGGAGGAAATTCTCAAAAAGAAAATGAGGGAAAAATAATATTTTCAAGGCATGGGGAAACCCCCGATCGGTCATCATCAGTTACCCGATTGGATCCATGCCGAAAAGAGGATTAAAATGGACCAAACAAGAATTCCAGGCTAATGTACCCGATCGAGTAACAGTCCTACTCGGTCGAGTATAGAGTAAAAAGGGGAAGAAGGGGGATCGAGTACCCCATACTCGATCGACCAAAAGACAAAAAATGATCGAATACTCGATCGGGTAGACATCATACTCGATCGGGTAATCGACCCCTGAAGCCAATTTTAAAAATCCGCCAAATACCCGATCGAGTAAATTAATATACTCGATCGAGTATATTTCAAGAAAAACCTACGGCGGCCGAAATTCGATCGAGTATACCCCATACTCGACCGAGTACACAAACCTGGAACCAATTTTTTAAAAAAAAGGGGTATACCCGATCGAGTATATTAATATACTCGATCGAGTATATTTCAAGAAAATCCTACGGCGGACAAAACTCGATCGAGTAAGGGGTATACTCGATCGAGCCCGATCCCGAAACAAGAACAAACCGAGGTATACCCGATCGAGTAATCGGGGTACCCGATCGGGTACACGAGTTTTAAAGACATTTTTGAGCCGAAATCAGTTCATCTTCTCCAAAGCTCTTGCCCCAAATTCGAACTCTCTCTCTAAAAACTCCATTTTCAAACCTTATTTCTCCCATACCTCAACCAAAACTCAACCAAATTCCATCAAACCACCACCAAAACACTCCCCTCACTCCCCTCTACAACCTCATACCAATCAATCTCACCCTCTCTCCCTATTCCCAAAACTCCGAAACCCTACCCCCAAATCCCAAGTCCGAACCTATACTCAAGATTTACTCAAAAATGGCACCAAAGAGGAACCAACCGGAAAGCTCTAGCTCAAGAGGACCTATCCGAGGCTATGAGGATGTGCAATTTGGCCCGGGGGATCATCGGAAGCGATTTGTGACCGCTCTCAAAAGGCAAGTTATCCCATCTCGGTTCTTATGCCATGACGCTCTTACTTCTCTTGGCTTGTTAGATGGTATGAGAGAACTATTTGATGAATTGCATATGGGCTTGATTTTTAACTTGCAATATAATTGTAATGAAAGAATCATCTATGAATTTTTGAGCTCGGCCAAATTTGCATTGGATGAAAATCATTTTTATGATGACACAATCACGTTTCGGTTGATGAACACCGAATACACTATAACGAGACGTGATTTTGCCGAACACTTTGGGCTCCGATTCCCACATGAAAGGGAGATTCCGGACAACACCATGGATGCTTATAATCTTTGGGGTAAAATGACCGGAGAACGGAATTTTAGCACGTCTCAACTATACATTAGTCACGTGCAACATCCCCTTCTCCGGATTTTCCTCAAATTTTTGTGCAACTCTTTGCTCGGCCGACCCAACAACCATCACACTCGGATAGGGGATGTAGCCATTCTCACTCTTGCTCTTTTCCGCAATCCCGTTGAGTTCAACATTTGCAACTTGATTTGGGATCATCTACAGAAGGCTATCACCAAAGGGGGAAACATTGTTGTAGGGGGTGTTATCATGCATTTAGCTTCCAAGTTCGGCTATGTGGATAATGCCACAATCTCTAGAGATTCATTGATGCATCTTGGATGGTTGTCCAATGCACAATTGATCTCTTTGGGTAACAAAGACCACAACGGAAACCAAAAATATAAATGGCATATGAAGTACCCCGAACCGGTCAAATACTTCCCCCTCCCTTGCGATGAGTTACCTAGACTTAGGTATAAGATGGAGCCCGCCCACATCCCACATTACCTCCTCCCCAATAACATTCCACCCCATCTCCAAGCCCAAGCCGACCAAGCCGAACAACCCAATCCCCAACCGGAGCAACCCGAGCACCAAGAGGAATATGAACATGTCCAACATGATATTCCCGACCTCCCCCAAAACCCGCCACCACAAGACTTCTTCCAACAACTCTTGGCGGGTCAACAATCCCTCTTAACCGGTTTCCAAACAATGAGCCTTGATTACACAAAAATGGGAGAGCAATTCACCCAACTTCAAGGGGAGATAGGCCACTACCGGAACGAGCAACAAGAAAGAGACCGGCGATTTGATGCATACCGGGAGGAGCAAGAAAAAGCTTTTCAAAGGTTGGAGGAACAACGAGCGGCCGACTTGCAACGATACGAGGAAGACTACCGGAGGATGTATGGGCCGACATATTCTTACATGTCCCAACTTGGCGGGTTTGCATCCATGGCCTCACCACCACCGGCACCTTCTTGGTATAACCCCTCCGATTGGGGTAATTTTGGCGGCTCTAGTTCCGGCATGGGTGGTTATGATGGCGGGGACACTACCATGGGCGAGGGAGGAGGTGATGACATGCATGGGAGCGGCTTTGGAGGCGGCTACTACGGAGGAGAAGGCGGGCACTAGGGATAGTGCCATGTTTCAAGTGTGGGGGAGGAAGATCATCTTGTGGTATGTACACTCCTTTATTTCTACCTTGTACTAAGCATTATTTTCTTGTATTAGTTTTGCACACAAAAAAAAAAAAAAAAAAAAAAAAAAAAACATGTAATAAAAGAAATGAAATGCTAGTTAGGTTGAAAACCCAAAAGGGCAATCTAAGCAACAAGGGCTTACAAAAATGATGAGTGAGGGGTAAGGAAAGAAAAAGCAAAGAGATGCTAGGATGAAAACCTGAAAAGGCTCCTAGGCAAAATGAGAGATATGAGAGAAAAATTCGTTTTTGCAGGACACTATCTCTTGGAGAGGCAGAAGAAGAAGAAAAGAAGAAGAAGAGAAAAAGAAGTAAGGGGCATAGAAGACCATTAAACCCAAAGAGATGTTATTTTGTAAACTCATTTACAATACTTGGTGGTTTTAGTTCCTTATTTCTTCCTCTCTATGAACTCATGATCTTGTGATAAACATTGTATAAACATTTGGTTTTACTCGAGGTCGAGTAAAGGAACTAAGTGTGGGGGAGTTGACATTCATGTTATTTCCGTGTTTATAATTGTGTTTTTGATTAGTTTTGAGTGATTGTTACTCTAGAAATTACACACTTTTGGTGTAAAAGTTTAGTTTGTAAAATATTTGTAAATTGTTTAGATTAGGTTGATTCTGAGCTCAAACAGGTCCAAGACCACTCTAGGGACCATTGGTGAACATCACAATTGGAAGGAAGGTGCAAAGATTTCAAGAAAAGATGAAGATTCTGATTTTTGGTAGTGTACCCGGTCGAGTATGCCCTATACTCGATCGGGTAAGTTGCTGAAAAGTCAAATCGGATAAATCCGGGAACAAGGCAACATGCAGGAGGATTTTCTAACTCGATCGCGTATCCATACCCGATCGGGTAACCGACATACCCGATCGGGTATGACCCCAGATTTTCAGTTTCGAGGAAACTAACCCTTACCCGATCGGTTGAGCTAAAAACTCGATCGGGTACACGACCCTGCAGGCCTAAAAAGCCTATAAATACACCCCATTTCCTCCACAAGAAGAGGACCAATTCCTTTATACTCTTAAGCTCAGTTTAGAATAGCATTTCCCTATATTTCTTTTAGTATGTTTAGTCTCCAAATGAGGAGCTAAACTTCCATTTCTTGGTTTTGCTCTTGAAGCTTGATTGATTATTAAAGTTGTGAGTTATTTTCTTACTTTCTCCTCTTGATTATTAATTCTTCCCTTAATCTCATTCTATGTCATTGTTGGAGGGTGGCTAAGTGACGATTAGTTAACGTTCCGACATTGATTATTACTAGAAACGTTCAACGAACCGATGGTTAAACGTTGAAGGTTTCATAAGTAAGTAACTTCGGTTTATTAATGCACGGTCGTGGTTAATAAACTTAAGAGGGATTAATTTTGTTGGTTAAACCGAAACCGTTGTGTTGAGGTTATCAATCTCAATTGATTTCATCAAGGAGTTAAAGAGGTTAAATGCTACTATTAAATCGGTATACGGCGTTGTTCTATATTTGGTTAATAGTAAGGGTTATTAATGAACGGTCGTTGTTAATAACTACCCTCGATGAATTGGATATACTCCTCGATTGAGTATTCGAGAGGGGATAAGTTATAGATATAACAATGATCGACTAAAATATATCAACAAGTGGAAAGTAGCAAGACCAAGTCCCTTTTATTCCTAAATTTAATCTCATATAACTCGTTCATCTTCGTGTTTAATTTAATTAAATCACTCAACAATCAAAACCCCCCTTCATTTACTATTTATATAAAAAGAAAGTTAATCCTTTCCCTGTGGATACGAACTCTACTACGCTATACTACGTATAAGTGTTGTATTGAATATTATTTTGAGTGCATCTCACGACAAGTGCACGTCAAGGAGCTGGTTGAAGTTGAAAAGGAAGTTCAACCAGGGGAGATGACCAAGAAAGCTCCACCACGATCATCATACGAACCATCACCCCCATTCCCCGAGGCATTGAGGGAGACAAGGCCGCTGAAGAATGACAAAGACATGTACGAGACATTCGCCAAATGCGAGGTAAACATCCCACTCCTCAACTTAATTAAAAGTGTCCCTCGATTTGCTAAATTTTTCAAAGAATTATGCGTTATCAAGAGGACACGCCGCTCAAAAGGGAAAGAAAAGAATGAAATTAGTGAACATGTCTCGGCAGTTTTTCAAAAGAAACTTCCCCAGAAATGCACTGACCCGGGCATGTTCACTATACCATGCAAGCTAGGAGACACCATTTCTTCTAAAGCCATGTTGGACCTAGGGGCATCAATTAATGTGATCCCCTACACTCTTTACAATTCTTTAAAACTTGGACCTTTAAAAGAAACCGGTGTCATAATCCAACTAGCCGATAGGTCAAGTGTGTCTCCAAAAGGGCTAGTGGAAGACGTACTTGTGTCGGTAGGTGATCTAGTCCTCCCAACAGATTTTTACGTACTCAAAATGGAAAGTGATAAACACGACGCCCCTATTTTATTAGGGAGGCCATTTTTAAAAACCGCTAACTCAAAAATCGAGGTTTCTAGCGGATTTTTAACTATGGAATTTGATGGAAAGAAAATAGAATATAGCATTTATGATTCTATTAAAAATCACTCTCCATTTGAAGAAAAAATTGAATCGATCTTTGATGTTGGAGAAGCACAAAATCATCCACCGTCCATCAAACCTCCCGAACATAAGTTGGAACCACCTATAATTGAGGTGGTAACAAAAATAAAGGCCCGGCCTTACTGGGGAAGGCCGAAGAAGAAAAATGAAACTCGGCCTAAAAAGATTTTTGAAAATAAAGGGGATGTTCATGATCCCACATAAACCAAAAAAAATGAAATAAAAATAAGCGTCGTGCCGCGACGTAAAATTAGGCGCTTCTTGGGAGGCAACCCAAGCAATTTATGTTTCCTTATTATTTTATTTCAGTAGTGTGTGTCAAAAAAAAAAAAAAAGTGTATCCGGGGACATACCCGATCGAGTAATCTTCCATTCTCGGTCGGGTATGGGTAAAAAGGAGGACCCGAGTTCCATACTCGAGCGAAGTGGCCAAGTATTTTAACATTGGAGGCCTACTCGATCGAGTATCAGTTAATACTCGGTCGAGTATGGCCAGAAAGGCAAATCCAAAAAGAGCCTGTCTCCAGCACTCGATCGACTATGCACATATACTCGGTCGAGTATGTCTGGAAAATCAATTCAATCAGACGCCTGTCTCTGAGACTCGATCGAGTATGCACATACACTCGGTCGAGTATAGCTGGAAAAACCATATCCGCACCTCCCTGTCTCCAGTACCCGATCGGGTATAGGGAGATACTCGATCGGGTACACCTGCGGATTTAATCATAAACCACTCGGCCAGCACTTCATCTTCCCCAAACACTCCCAAATTTTCGAACCCCTCACCCCAAAACTCCATTTTTCTACCTTCTCTCTACCATATCTCCATCAATTCTCCACCAAATCAACCCATTCCACCACCAAAATACTCCCCTCACTCTCCTCTACACATATCTACCAACAAATCCCATTTTCCCCCAAATTCCCAAAAATCCGAAACCCTACCCCATTTTCAATTGTTTTTGGATTTTCAAGCTCCAACCATCAACAATGGCTCCACGAAAGAATAGGGGAGAGCCCTCCAACGCAATGGCACCCATTCCAGGCTTTGAGGACATCATTCCCGCCGACGCCGAACATCGAACTAGACTCCTCTCTACCATTGCAAGGCAAGTTAAACCATCTCGTTTTCTTTGCCATGAAGCACTTCGTACTTTGGGAATTTTTAAGAGTACTAGGCAATTTTTTCGTGAGTTGAATATGGAACGCATTTTCTATATGCAATACAACTCAAACGAAAAAATTATTTATGAGTTCTTGAGTTCGGCTAGGTTTGAGACCAATGAGGAGGATTTTAGGGACGACAAACTCTCGTTTCGTCTTTTTAATCAAAACTTTTCAATCAAGAAACATGAGTTCGCCGAACACTTCGGCATCCCGGTCCCACATGTGAGAGCCATTCCCGATAACACATTGGATGGTCATACACTTTGGAGGAGAATGACGGGAGAGTTGCAATTTAGCTTCTCCCAACTATACATAAGCCATGTCCAACACCCCATTCTCCGTATATTTTTGAAATTCATGGCAAATTGTATACTTGGGCGTCCCAACAATCATCATACGAGGATAGGAGAAGTGTGCTTAATGACACAGGTTTTATTTCGATGCACCACGGAATTTAACTTGTGCAATTTGATGTGGGCTCATCTAAAAAAGGAGAGTGTGGGTAAGGGGAAGATTGTTGTGGGAGGGGTAATTATGCACTTGGTTTCCAAGTTTGGGTATAGGGATAACCCCCCTATACCCGACTATTGTTTGGTGGACATTGGCTTTTTAAGCCATGCGAATTGCATATCCTTCTCTCGCACGGTGTATGAGTTTGACAAGTCCTATGATGTGTACAATTGGCAAATACACCCGCCCCCCATCCGGCACTTTTCCTTACCCAACCCGGACCTCCCCAAGATATTCTACAACAGAGACATGCCCCACTACTTGTTGCCCAATGCCATTCCACCACATTTTCAAGAACCCCTAGCCGAAAACCAACCACAAAATCAACCCGAAGAACAAACTCAAGCCCACCATCATGAAGCCATACATGAGCACATACCCGAACAGCCCCAAGTTCAACCACCTCCCGACTATTTCCAACAACTCCTTGATGGTTTCAACAAGGTAACCAACGAAGTTGGCCGATATAGGGAAGAACAGCGGGCTGGATTTCTAAGGCTAGAAGAGCAAAGGACGGAAGATAACAGGCGGTACGAAGAAGACCAACGTAGGTTCTATGGACCTATGTACTCCTACATAGCCCATCAAGGCTCTTTTCACACTATGGCTCAACCGCCCCCACCCCCATCTTGGTATGACCCCACTCAATGGGGTAACTTTGGAGGATCTAGCTCCGGGGGTGGAGGTTCCGATGGCGGAGACGGCGGGGATGCTCACATGGGCGACGGGGGCTATGGAGGCGGCTTTGGAGGCGGCTACTATGGCGGAGAAGGTGGGCACTAGGGACAGTGCTTCACATAAGTGTGGGGGAGGAGACTCCTCATGGTATGTAATGTTATTTTCTACCCTTTACTATGCATGACTTTTCTTTTACTCTTTGTAAACAAAAAAAAAAGAAATGAAAGAAAAAGGAAATGCTAGTTAGGTTGAAAACCCAAAAAATGGGCAATCTAAGCAAAAATGGCTTTAAAAAAAATGAGTGAGTTAGGGAGGATGGAAAAACACAAAGAGATGCTAGGATGAAAACCTGAAAAGGCTCCTAGGCAAAATGAGAGATATGAGAGAAATATGTGTTTTTGCAGGGACTCATTTCATCTCTTAGGAGAGGAAGAAGAGAAGAAAAAGAAGAAGAAAAAAAGAGGCAAGAAGATGGAGCATAGAAGATCATTAAACTCAAGAAAGAATGTTGTTGTAAAAACCCATTTTCCCCCTTGGTG